GCAAGATCACTAATTCCTCTCAATGATGAAAACTCACTATGCATCGTCATATCATGAATGTAATTGTTAAGTTGAATTGGAAGATTTATGAGATCCATACGATCAAAATCTTGAGAATAAAGTTGGGCTAAACGAACAATTTTTGCTTTGTCAAAAGATACAAAATTATTCACCGAACTCAAACATGTCATACAAAGAAGCAACTCGGTGTTCACCTCATTGAAGCAATCATTCAATTCCTTTAGTTGCTCATCAAGGACTTGAAAATAGAGGTCTACACGATAGTAATGGAAGTTTGTGATTTTTGGAGCTTTACGCCTTGATTTTCCAAGTACAAAATGCAAATCCTCCATGTTAGGAATGATAATATCATGCTCCTCACAAAGCCTTTCTACATCATGAAACAAGTCCCCAAAGTCATCATCTCTCAAGGATTGTAGTCTTTGCTTGCATACTTCTACTAACGTCATCGCATTCACAATATCTTGATCTTTCTTTTGCAATGTTTGTGATAACTTATTAGTAATTCCCAATATAAGTCTCATCAAGAAAATGTGAAACAAAAAAATCAAAAGTTTGTATGTCTTTGAATAACCTAGTTGCTTCACCGAGATTATCTTGGTTGCGATCACTTTTAATCCATTCAACCACCTCCACCACGGCTTTAAACATAACAATAATACTAACTATAGTACCATAATGCGAGTTCCACCATGTATCACATGAACGCATGAGACTACTTTCTTCATTTAATATGATTGTATCATACTTAGGGCCTCCGTATTTAGACCTCGTATAAATACTCGGGGGACTCAAGGGTAATTATGTAATAAATGGAGGAGGCCGATTCTTAGGCCACACCCTCACCCTCTCAGAGCTTTCATCCTCATAGAGAAGCTCCATCTCTCCCTCATAATCCTCTCAGAGAAATACAATATCAATGTGGATGTAGCCCAAACATCGAGATGAACCACGATACATCTTATGTTCTTTACTTTCTTGCAAATTCACTGTCGGATTTACGTTGTTCCAAGACCTCCGATTTTGTGCATCAACCCAAACATTGTGGTGAACCATGATACATCTTGTGTTCTTTACTTTCTTGTAGATTCACAGTCGGATTTACGTTGTTCCAAGACCTCTGGTTTTGTGCATCAACATTTAGCGCCGTCTGTGGGAATCGACACGAAAAGTTATGTCGGTTCTCTCCCAATTTTTCACCTCCGCTGTGAATCTGCAAAAACCCAAAAACCCAAAAACCCAAAGTTTTCCCAGAAAACCCAAGGAGCCACCTCCTCTCTCACTTAGTCTCTCTCTGAAACACACAAAAAACTTTTTTTTCCTTTCCAAAAAAAAAAAAAAAAAGTCCAAGCAATTCAGTCCGAAGAATACTCGCAGAGAGAGAGACCCAATGGAGGAAGGGCTCAGCAGAGAGGAGTACTTGTTCAAAGTGGTGCTGATAGGCGATGCTCACTTTCTCTCAAAGCCCTAATCTTTAAACCTAAAAAATCCCCAAATCTCTTTATCTCCTTTCCCCCGCACGTACAACGATGGCCCTAGTGAGACCCGGATCCGGAAGCCAACCCCCAAAGCTCCGATGGGGATAGCTTGAGGAGGACGACGGCGAAGACCTCGACTTTCTCCTGCCGTCGAGGCAAGTAATTAGGCCCGATGAGGATGAGATCAAGTAACACAAATTCTACGAAATTACCAAGGTGGTCTGAGATCCCACTAGAATTACTGCAGTTGCTCATGGAAAAGCTTCCCTCATATTTCGTCCACACCCTTTGATTCAAAGTTGTTTGTCCTTCTTGGAATCACGCTGCAAAATCGTATGTCTCCGACTCATCTTACACACCACTGCCTCAATCTTCATGGCTCATGCTCCCCGCTCAACGCCGGAAGAAACGCCTCCCTAGTGATCTTGATGTAGAGGAGGACGAGGGCTACTTCTTTAGCCTTGTTGAGGAAAAGGTTTACAAGATCAGAGTCGACAATTGCTTTCATCAGCCTCTGTAGCTCCTTCTTCAACTTTGCCGCCTTGGCTACCGTTGTCGGATCAGAGTCGAAAACCACCAGCATTCACCTCTTCCACACTTACAGTTTCGCATGAGTTTTGCAATCTGAGAAAGTTACTCGCATTTCTTCTCCGCAATCCCTCCCATTTCTAGCGCACTCCTTCTCACTGAACCACCCCACCGACCGCCGAGTCATCGTCCTGCTCGACGACCTCGCCGTCAAATCCTCCCACTCCTTGTTCTTCAAGTCTCTTCAGTCTCGAGGCTTCGAGCTCGATTTCAAGCTCGTCGATGATCCCAAGATCTTCTTACAGCGATACGGCCTCTACAACTGTGACGCCTTGATCCTCTTTTCTCCTTCCATCGATCGTTTTGGAGGATCCATTGACTTGACTGCTGCTGAAGGATGCGGGAAAACCACATTGGCTAAAATTCAAGATCAAGAAGTCAAAGATACATTCAAGAATAACATCTTCTTTGTCAATGTCTTAAGAAAGCCCAACTTGGACCTTATGGTACACCAACTATATTAACGGAAGGGGTCCGAGCTGCCTGCTTTCGAAAACGAAGTCATGGTAGCTAATTGTTTACAACAATTTCTAAAGGAATCAAGACAAAATCCTTTACTGTTTGTCCTGGATGATGTTTAGTCAGGATCAGAGTCCCTTCTTGAGAAGTTTGATCAATTCAAGTTTTCAAATTACAAGATTTTGGTCACATCAAGATTTGCATTTCCAAGATTCAGTTTTCCTTATCATTTGGCACCCACTCATGACACCGGGGTCAAGGTTGAGCTCTTTGAGTCGGCCAAGGCTGGGGTCAAGGCCAACAGTGATTGGGTTATGGACAGCATAGGCAAAGGGACACAATAAGATTCTTCATCATGAACCTGCCCATTTTCTGAAAACCAACTGTCGACCACCAACTTCTAAAACAACTTTCATCATGCATGTTCCCATTTTCTGAAAGCATAAAAACAAAAGCAAAAGTAGAAAGCAAAAGAAGATAAAAAAAAAAGCAGACATAATTGCGATGGTGATAGCATTATGGGCGTGACCCATTGAGTAGAGGGTCCGATTTATTTTTTAATGACATAATTTATTTTCTTATCTTTCGGAGACATCTGTATAATCCCCATCAGAGGGTTAAAAAAAAAAGGCAAGCCCAACATAATGGGCTGGAATGTTGTATGGAGGGCGAAGACCCATATGCCCAAAAGAGCCAGGCCCGCTATTATCACCAACCAGGTGATCAAAAGTACGCCCAGTACTCCAAAATTATTCGGCAACCTGCCGCTATTATCACCAACCAGGTGATCAAAAGTACGACTAGTACTCCAAAATTATACATGAGCATCACTCATGTCATTCATACATAAACATTCATGAGCATTACTCATGACAATCATACATAAACATTCATGAGCATCATTCATGTCAACATTCATGAGCATCACTCATGTCAACATTCATGAGCATCACTCATGTTAATCAACATAAATATTCATAAGCATCACTCATGTCAATCTAGCTTCAAAAACTTCATTTACAGAGCTCTAGCTTCAAAAGCTTTATTTACAGAGCTTTAGCTTCAAAGCTTCACTTACAAAGCTTCAGTGCAGGGTATACAAATATCGCCTCCGAAAAAACCGCCACTTTGACCCACACATAGATTGAATTTGAAGCCTCCAGCCAACAGCCTCTATTGACTGAAGACTTGGGGGACTACATTATGTACCATATATTGGACCTCAACTGGGCCTTATGAAAAATACTCGGGGGACTTAACCCATTATTCATGTATTGAGGAGCGAGCCCTTATTCTATAAAAAAGACTCCCTCACTTTCATTAGAGAGCACCCATTATTCATGTATTGAGGAACAAACCATTATTCTATAAAAGGGACTCCCTCACCATCATTAGAGAGCATCGCCACCTGCTGAGCAACCGCCTCGCCGTGAGCATCACTCTAGCTCATCACTTATGTATTGAGGAACGAACCTTTATTTTATAAAATGGACTCCCTCACCATCATTATAGAGCATCGCCGCCTGCTGAGCAACCACCTCGTCGCAAGCATCAACTCTAGTTCATCATTTATGTATTGAAGAGCGAGCCTTTATTCTATAAAAGGGACTCCCTCACCTTTAACGCCACAAGCCGAGCCAACCAAGGCAACATAAGCTACAAGCCGAGCAGCCTCGCAACATGTGCTACTTCTAGTTGAGCATCATTTCAGATTGAGCACCGCCTCATATCGAGTATCAGTTCAAGACGACATCTAGTTACTTCGACCCACACATGGACTGAATTTCAAGTCTCCAGCCAAAAGACTATCGTGACTGAAAACTTGGGGGACTACTGTTTGTACCATACTTAGAGCCTTTGTATTTAGACCTCGTATAAATAGTCGGGGGACTTAAGTGTAATTATGTAATAAATGGAGGAGGCCAATTCTTAGGCCACACCCTCACCTTCTCAGAGCTCTCATCCTCATAGAAAAGCTCAATCTATCCCTCATAATCCTCTCAGAGAAATACAATATCAATGTGGACGTAACCCAAATATTGGGGTGAACCACGATACATCTTGTGTTCTTTACTTTCTTGCAGATTCACGATCGGATTTACGTTGTTCCAAGACCTCTGGTTTTGTGCATCAACATAACCCTTTACCCGTTTCAAGATTACCAAGATCAAGAGCTTTCTGACTTTGTTCTTGTTGTCTCATCAAGAAAAGGTGAAACACAAAATCAAAAGTTTGTATGTCTTTGAATAACCTAGTTGCTTCATCGAGATTATCTTGGTTGTGATCAATTTTAATCCATTCAACCACCTCCACCACGGCTTCAAACAGAACAATAATACTAACTATAGTACAATAATGCGAGTTCTATCGTGTATCACATGAACGCATGAGACTACTTTCTTGATTTAACCCTTTACCCGTTTCAAGATTACCAAGATCAAAAGCTTTTTGAATTTATTCTTGTTGTTTCTCTCTAAATGCATCACGACGCTTGCATGACGATCCAATAAGATTCACTAAACTACTAGCATTGATGAAGAAATTGACAACATCCTCATTTTCCTTTGCCACAAATACAAGAGCTATTTGGAGTTGGTGTGCAAAACAATAAATATAAAATGCTTGAGGGTATTTGTTCAAAATCTTTGTTTTAAGACCATTTAACTCAACCCTTATATTATTAGCTCCATCGTAGCCTTGCCCTTGTAGCTTGGACATACTCAAATTTGTTGCAGCAAACAATCTCTCAATGACATGTTGAACACCCAAAAACTTTTCAATTGCTTCTCATTTTTTGTTTACATAATGCAATACCATCGCCATTTGCTCTTTAGTGGAAGCATCACGTGATCCATCAACCAAAAGAGAAAAAAAATGTACCTTCCATATCTTTAGTGATTGCATTAATAATTTCAATAGCACAAGCACAAACAAGATCCTTTTGAATATCGGAAGAAGTATACTTGAGATTCTTAGGAGCATTCTCAAACACAACCTTCCTAACTTTCTCATTATGATCAGCAATAAATTGCATAAGCTCTATATAATTACCCCTATTGCTCGATTTCAAAGATTCATCGTGCCCACGAAAAGCCAAACCCTGTCGCAACAACCATCTTGTGCAATCAAGTGCTCCACTCAGTAAGGTGTGATAATTAACGCGAGCTTCATCAGTTTGCTTAATCACAAATGTTTCAATGTGTTGTTTTTGTGTCATCAAGTCTTTAGCCTGTTGCATAGCTTTATTATGAAGACTTCCAACACCTCCCTCATGGACTCGAAAATTTTCGGATCCTTTCCTCCAATTTTTAAACCCTTTTTCAGTGAAGACATCACTTCCACTACCACCAGCTTTATCAAAATCACATTTAAAAAGATAGCAATAACGGCAAATGCAGCATCTTTTACTATACTATACTCCAACCACTTAAATTTATTAAACCAACATGTGATAAAACATCGATTGTCACTAGCTTTCCTTGGCATGTTGTGAGATTTAGGTTGACAAGGTTCATTTTGGAGGTAGTACCTACGAATTGATTCTCGACAATTGAGTGGATAATTAAGCATTTGATGTCTCAATCCAGGGTCTGCAGGAAGATTAGCTAATATTTCATCCTACTCAGTAACCTCACTTTGTTGTGCACTACCCGGAATACTCGAAGGATGACTACTCGGAATTTGAAGGTGGAGGAAGACTACCCGGAATATTTGAAGGAAGAAGAGGACTATCCGGAATATTTGGAGAAGGATTTAAGCACTATTTCTTATAGTATTGTTCCATTACGTAACTGTATAACGAAAGAAAAGAAAATATCTTAGACTCTTAATCCTAGAGTATACTACGAATTTAATTAATCAGTACCAACAATCATATGAAATTATGAATAATCAAGCATTCAATTTTTATCCTAGAGTAGACTACGAATGTAATTAATCAATACCAAAAGCAACAATGCATTTGAACGAGGGTTTTAGTTGGTTGAATTGGGGTTTATTATGTTAATGTAAATATGATGTAAAAGTCATCACCATGTTCAGCTTTTTTTTTTTTGGAGTTTTAACGAAAAGCCCGCGGTACTGTTCACTTTAACGAAAAACCACATTTTTACACTAAAAAGTCAAACCTGGTACTATTCACTTAACCCTTTATTTTGCCCTTATCATTAAAACTCAAAGTTTTCAAGCCCTTTTCATTAGTTTTCATTTTTTTTTCTTGGTAGACTATATGTGATTCATGTTCGTATATGTATATATAATGTATCAAACCTCTTTTATGTACTTCAAAACAAAAAAAAAAAATCAATAATCATAGTATTCATATGAATAATCTATAATCAATAACCATATAATGTATAACCCTATAATCCTATATCAATTAAACAAAATTTTGTATTCAATTATCAATTAGGGTTTGAAATAAAAAAAAATTAAAAAAACTAACATTTTACCTGGAGCTTCTGGTGTGGCGTCTCGACTTTGGACTGGACAGTGGTCTTAGTGGCCAACCAACGGAACGGGGTGGGGGTGGTTACTTTCTTGTGTTCCTAGGATTTGGGACAATTTTGAAAAGTTAAATCTGGGACTAGGACTGGGAGGCAGGGGCGAAGCTACATAGGATCGATCGTCCCTCCGCTTACCAGAAAACAAAGGCAGGAGTGATGCTTGAACCCCCCTGGTTCTGCCGAAAACTGGGAAGCACCGCGCGGTGGTTCTGAAACCAGAAACCTGCGCTGCTCCCTGCGCGCAGGGTTTTTTTTTTAATTTTAAAATCCAGGCTACAATTGCGAAATGAACACGCTTTCGTTTTAGTCATGGCATTCATTTTGATATTGTCCTTTTATATCTACTAGCTAGCTTCTTACAAACCTATGATGTGAACTTTTCTGGCAGTGGCTTGCAACTCAAAGGGGCAGTCCAACTGCAATTAGATGTCCAGCTGCGTCTTCACAAACAGTTGGAGGTGTACATTCATGAGATCCAATTCAGTGATATACATACATACATATATATATATATATATATATATATATATATATATATATATATATGGGAAGTCTTTAAGAGAAATGATCATTTTTATAAAAGCGAGGATTAGTTGTGGGGTACACATCACACCGAACTGTAACGATTCGAACCATTTATTTTTTAAGTTGCACCTCATAAATTATTCTTGTAAAATATTAGACAAATCAGGAATATTTAAAACATCTAATTGAGTTAAAAAAAATTAACAAATACTTTATTATATAAGAAACAATGAAATTTTATCTTAAAAATTAAATAGGCAAATGGTTTCGGATTGAATTGAATTTTTGTAAAGATGATCTATGAATCAAGATTTATAAAATAAATAGTCCAGATCATTGAAGTTCAATGTGCACTGAACCTGCTAATCCCTACTTTTTGAAAAAAAAAAAGATCCCCTTGTATACAGGGCCATATATATATATTATTTCGAAATATTTCTAGTAGCATTAGTAAATCATTCTTGAAATACTCCAATTTTCATAACAAATTTATTCAACTATTTCTATGTGCTGATTCAACAAAAGTTACATTTACGAATTGAAGAACAATGGAAGCAGCTCAAGAAGATGTTTGATCTGCAACAACAAATTAAAAGGTAGTAACCTGTTGAAGACTCAGAATGCGAATGTCACATGCCACGAAGCTGCCCCATCAAATAGTCTCGACGACACTGATCAGGTTTCAACTTCTGAAGGTTCTGGGAATACAAGTTTTCACTCCATGACAAGTTAGCCTTGAAAGGAGAATTAGTCAGTCATTCTTCACACAACAACTGAACTCATACGGTTCCAAAGTCCTCAAAAAGTCGATGTGACTACTGGTTAAGTAAGAAAGAAACTAGAAATTGGAAGATGATACGAAGATTATAATCAATTAACCGGCACTCAGACATTGATCATAGGGTAAATTACACTTTCATACCTTAGGTTTGGGGTCTATTTTAATTCCTTACAATATCTTTAAAACATTTTACTTTCATACCTTAAATACTATTTTATTTCAAAATGATACATCTGTTACATTTTTCATCCATTAATCTGTTAAATGCTGACATGGCTACCACATATATGCCACGTGGCTGCCAAATGTCTACCATGTGTCAAATAAAATAATTTTTTAATTTTTTTTAAAAAACCTGAATTTTCTCAACAAAAAAAACAAATTTGAAACCCACATCTGCAAGAAGAAGAAGAAGAGGGAGGAAGAAAGAAAAAGAAAAAAAAATTGTCCCTCCTCCCCCCAGCGACCCAGAAGAAGAAGAATAAGAAGAAGAAGGAAGAAAATCCAAAAAAAAAAAAAATAGAAACCCACATCTGCAAGAAGAAGAGAAGAGAAAGAAGAAGAAGAAGAAGAAGAAGAAGAAGAAGAAGAAGAAGAAGAAGGAGGAAGGGAGCTGGGTCGGGGTGGGGGGAGGGTCCCCGAGGGGGGGTTCTTCTTCTTTTTTCTTCTTCTTCTTCTTCTGGTCGTTGGGGGGAGGGACAAATTTTTTTTTCTTTTCCTCCTTCTGGTCGCTGGTTGCAGATGTGGGTTCCAATTTTTTTTTTTTGTTGAGAAAATTCACGTTTTTTAAAAAAAATTAAAAAATTATTTTATTTGCCATGTGGCATATATGTGGCAGTCACGTCAGCATTTAACAGATCAATAGATGGAAAATGTAACGGAGGTATTATTTTGAAATAAAATAGTACTTAAAGTATGAAAGTGAAATGTTTTAAAAATGTTGTAAGGAATTGAAATAAACCCCAAACCTGAGGTATGAAAGTGTAATTTACCCTTGATCATATTCCATTTAAAGGATATGAATGTTGGAAATTTTGAGTAGAAATTTCATTGTCCCACATTGTTCACTACCAAAAGGTTCGCTCATTTTATAAGACTTTGTCCCTTATAAATAGTGATTTGAGTGATAGACCATGAAAAATGAAATTGAACTCAACCTTGGGGTTGGGCTTTGAGATGCACTAATTAATTGATAATTAATAAAGATGGGCCTTGGGTTCTAATGATTAAAATTTTTAATTAATTTCGAATTTAATTAAATTATTTTTTATTTAAACAGACTCATCTTTTCAGATGAAGTCTACAGTGATGAAAGAACACAGAGAGCAAAGCACCCCTCTGAGAAGATGTCTTCCAACAATCACATCTCATTCTCATACCTGTTGCGAACATGCATAATCCTACTATATACACATCAATTTGCATGGCATTTTGAACACAAAAATATAAAATTCTTCTTCTACAATCCTAAACCTTCTTACTGAGAGAACCACAAAGAAATTTGCAGAAGTCAATTTTCCGGTGCTGGAATTCTAACTTAGATCGTTGAATCTTGGTAAAGCAAACGTCTATAACGATTGCATATGGTTACCATCAAGTTCTCATGCTTCCATGTAATCACACTTGAAATTTTGTACTGTGAATATTCTTTTTTCGCGCGGAATAAATTAGGATTATATTTGAACACAATGTTAAACTTTTTAGTTGGATAGAAGATGCAATAAGATAATTTTTTTAGAAGTTTTGTTATTCTACCCCTCCTCTTAATAATAACAAATTAAAAATAAATAAATAAATCTTGCACGCTATTTTATTAATCTTGCTTCCATTACTTTCAAGAAATTTGCAATCTATATTTCTTCCCTTTCGCATAGCAATTCCAAGAAACAAAAATACAACAATTTGTAATGTTTAGTAGTGTAGTTCTCTCTTTTCCATCGTCATAACTGGCAATTCCAAGGTTACATGTGCACTTTGGAAATAGACTATGCCATATTACACTTACAACGTCCTTTGTAGTTTACTGCAATTTTTCATTTCGTCCTAGTCATTTTCTTATTATATTTTCGTCCTTGTAGTTTCATTTTTCTTTCACTTTAGTCTAATTAGTCGACCAAGTTGATTCATTTTTCATCCTTGTAGTTTCATTTAGTGATTTCAATCATTTTAAAAGCACTTTTAAACGAGCTTTCAATATGTAGATTCACCAACTTTCTTAAGATTGACACTTGTCGCCTTGTGCACATATGTTGCCACATTTTTAATCTTTTTCAACCAAATTCCCTGTCACGCAAATTAGATTATTTTTTTGAAAAAAAAGGTTGCACAAGGTCTAAATAACACACAAAGAAACAAAAATACAACAATTTGTAAAATTGAGTAATTAATAATAATTAGTGAGCTGCGAATTCTTAAGCACTCTAATACTCATTTTCGCTTGTTCATCACTGGCAATTCTAAGGTTACAAATGTATTTTGGTAAATAAATTAGGCACATTGTACTTGAAGCTTCTTTCATTGTGCGTTTTATATTGTTGAAATGTTCTCCGAGTACAAGATGTAAGATGTCATCAAGCCGGAAACTGTAGATAAAATGTAAGTTTACATCTTTTTTACATCTTTAAAAGTTATGTCTGCATTTTCTAGGGGAATGTATAATGAGATGTAAATACGACTTTTTCATCTTATGCACTCTCAATTGAAGATGCTCTTACCGTTCAGGTAGTTCAACATGATTTCTACTTTCATCACAGTAGTTTTCTTGTTACATTTTTGTCCTTCTAAGTTAAATTTACTAACCACGATTCTTAAACAAAATGAGTAAATGTTCTCTCTAAGTTTTGTTTTTTGTTTTTTGAACAAACGATAATATTTATATTAAAGTGTAGGGGAGTGAGTTAAGCTTTACAATGAGTTTGTCGTAATAATGTGATTTAAATTCATATTTTTTATAAGAATCAAACCTAACATCTCTTAAAATAAAAATAAATGCCGCTATACTATGATTCTTGATGGTGATTCACACTAGATTCTATTAATGAATTTGACGAGTGTTACATATTCACTCGGACAGTTGCTCAAGCTCAACCACCTTGTCGTACCGTTTCTGCATTTGGATGGCACTGAAAAGACCATTTCTGGCGGCGATGTGCCACTCAATCAGCAGCAGCAGTTGGACAAACTCTGCAGCCGGAGCGCTAAATCTCGCCGATTAGCGAGCTTAAATCCCCCCCACATTTTTCATCAAAATTCCAAGGTAACCCTTTCGTCCCGAAAGACTTGATGTTTCCATTTTATTCGGCAGAATCTTGGCATTTGAGCTTCCGTAGAAATTACTATGCTGGGAATCTCATCAAATTGATGATGACCCATTTGCACAAACTCAGAACAGCATCTATTCTCAAATGGGTTTCTTCAAATTTTGATAAAAACCACTTTAGATCGACAAGAACCCCAATTCACCCAATTGGGTATTTCCCCATTGTCCAAAACCCTAGGTTTTACACAACTAAAAGGGATTCTGTGACTCAAAGTTGTGAAAAAGGGGATACTACTTCGACTGCCATTGCTAATGGCAAAAGTGATGCTCAAATTTCTCGTGCTATTAGAAAAGAAGCGGAAAATGCATTGTTCGATTATTTGTATTTTACTAGATACTTACAGTTTGCAGATGCAGAGAACATGAGTAAAAACTCCCCACATTTTCTCAGGAAGCTTGTAAAATGTGCTGGTAATGAAAAGGGATATGGGGGTTCAATTGCTCGTTTCTTGCGTTACCACCCTATTAATGAATTCGAACCTTTCCTTGAGAGCTTGGGGTTGAAACCTTCCGAGTATAGTCCTCTTCTTCCTCGCAATTTGATGTTCTTGATCGACGATGGTTTGTTGCTTCATAATTATGCTGTTTTGTGTAATTATGGGGTTGCTCGTAATAAGATAGGAAAGATTTATAGGGAAGCTACTGAAATCTTTCAATACCGTGTTGGGGTGTTACGATCAAAGCTTGAAGCTTATGAAGAACTAGGTCTCAGCCAGTCTGATTTGATTAAGCTTGTTGTTTGCTAGTCCTAATCTTTTAAGTGGGGTCGTCAATGCCATGTTGTTCAAGGTGTTGGAAAAACTGAAGTCTGTTGGATTTGAAACCAGTTGGATTATAGGGAACTTATCGGAAGAAAATTCTTATAATTGGAGCCGGTTGCTTGAAGCTCTAAGTTTTCTGAGTAAGATGGTTTGCAGCGACAAACAGTTGGGTGAATTAATTGGCCAACACCCACATATTTTATTTGAGGGCTCAGGGGAAAAGATGTTTTCAGTTATTGGGTTCTTACTGAAATTTGGATCCACAAAAAGCCAGCTATGCTCAATATTTCTGCAATTTCCACAGATTCCAGTTGTGAAATTTGTTTCAAATTTGAGACAATGCATTTTGTTCCTGAATGAGATTGACATGAAGGTTGCAGAGATTGGAAAGTTGATTCGTTTTCACCCCTTGCTACTGGGTTCATGTGCTTTGAAGAAAACGAACACCTTACTTCTTCACTTGAAAGTTGGAAAGAAGAGCCTGTGTAGATACATACAGGAGAACCCTCAAGAATTGAAGAATTGGGTTTTAGGTAAAAGACTTAGGCCATTAGAGAACCGTAGATCAATAACAGAGAAGACTATGTTCTTGTTAGACATAGGATTTGTAGAGAACTCAAACAAAATGAAAGTAGCGCAAAAGGCATTTCAAGGCAATGCATGGGAGTTTCAGGAAAGATTTGATTGTATTGTGGAAGCTGGTTTGGATCGCGAGGCTGTCTGCAAAATGATTAAAGCGTACCCTCTAATTCTTAGCCAGTCAAAGGCTGTTATTGAAATGAAGATTGATTTTCTTGTAAATCATTTGCGTTATCCGTTATCAACTGTGCTGACCTTCCCAAGATTTCTTACATATGGAATTAAAAGGGTCAAGCGTAGGGTGTTTATGTACAATTGGCTCAAAGATCAAGGAACGGCAGATCCTAGGTATGCTTTGAGCACTGTTGTTTCGTGTTCAGATGCATGTTTTATAAGGAAGTATGTAAATTGCCATCCTAATGGTCCTGAAGTGTGGGAGGATTTGAAGAATAAAATTCATTTGGAGCAATAAAATTTTCACTGCTCTCTCTTAAAAAAGGTTCTCCACTGTTGATTATCACCATGTTGATGCTATGTTAGTTTTTCTTTAACATGCTGAGGTTTTCATTAGGATTACGGTTTGTGGTGAGGTGACAAATACGAATAGATACTATGAAATTAGTTAGGCATGACTGCATCTCCACTTCAGCATAGTAAACTTTTACTTTCACATTCATTGTGGAAGGAGAAACTGTCCTCATAACCCTGAAAACGTATCTCCTCATTTTGCAGTTATATTACCAGAGTCATTTTAGTTAGGCTTTCCTGCATGAGGTTAACATTAGAAGTAACATCCAAGTTCGAATGACTTTCAGCCGTTATCAGAATACTATACAGCTATTATTTTATTATCGAAACTCGTGGCCTTCAACTGCCCTTATCAAACTGATGACAAGGTGAGACAAGAACTTGCACAAGCGGCTTGTGTCATGCTTGATATAACTTGCCAGGATAGAATGGTTTGATTTGTGATGGTGTCTGCATAAAACCAAGAAACCGATGCACTAGTGTTGTGTTTGGGATTGATTATTGTGTATTAACAGTTTACGGATATTAGCTTCGTATGCTAGTGAAGTTCAATATGAATACAGGTGCAGTCTTTCATGGTTTGAAATGATGGATTGACACCCTTGTAGTTCTGTGTGAAGTTGATGGAGTTGTTTTTATTGCTGCCATAGCTCGAAGCCCTTGTACAACGCGACAACATTTCGTGTAAGTTTGTAACAAAACAAACTCTACAGAAAGAAAAAAAAGAAGATCAGTTGTTGGTTTGTTGCTTGTCATCGTCTCTGGTTCTGTCTTGTGACAGAAAATACACATCAGGAGCGTTCCAGGAATTAGAAGGAATAAAACCATTCGAGATTTTTACTCGAGAAAAAAAGTTTGAACATAAAATTTGTTTTTAAACTTGGTGCATTGGTTTGGAAGATGTGGATCATACGTAGGATGGTGGTTGTAAACTTGTAGTTCTGGAATATGAAAATTGTTGTACTACTCAGAATCAATAGTAGTAGTCTGCCCATTAGGGCTGGTTGCAGAAGGATTTTTCAAATTACGGTAATCTCAGCCTTTCCAATCATCATTAAGTTACTAATGGGTGACACGCTCTTAGAATGATGATAATATTATGGTTTTTATTGTAATAAAAATGTTATGAATATCACATTTTGTTTACCACATCAAAACGGGACATTTTTATATTGGGATCCCCATTTCTATTAAGAGATGGTTTCGATTGATCTACACAATGTGGTTTTGCTAACACCAACTTTATAAAGAAATAAGGGGCCGTTTGTTTGACAGGACTAGGGAGGACTGGACTGGACTAGACTATAGTCCCTTGTTTGGTTTGTAGCAGGATTAGTTTTAATGACCTTAGGTCAGACTCGCTCGGATTATTCACCTCCTTACGCGTTCTTAACGAGGAACCCCAGTTTCGGGAGGACTCGTAAGCCCTGAGAGAAAGCCGCGAGAGAGTCACTCATCCAAGAACCTACGTCGCTCGTCCTCATCGCTGCGTCTTCCCTCATCGTCGTCCTTGCCCTGCTCCCTCATCGTCATCTTCCTCATTCTGATCTCTGCGCCTTCCCTCATCTGCATCTGCTCGCCCTCATCTGCTCCGACTTGTCTGGTAAAACTTCGCATCTTCGCTTTATTTCGTCAATTTGTTTTGCAGATCGTGGTATTACTGAGCTTCATTTGATTTTGTTGTTTTGGGTTTGAGAAATTTTTCAATGATAGACCTCTGCACTTGAACAAATTAGGGTTTTGATTTTTAGGTCAAATTAAGATTAGAATTTGGGGTTTTTCATATTTCAACTTTTTCTTTCAAATCCTCAGGTAGTAAAAAACCGCCATCACAAAATTTGCTCAGTGATGAAATCTAAGCCCTGAAATTTTGTTTCTTTTCGCGTTTTCTGAATTGGGTTTTTTTGATTTTTCGGGTTTTGATGCTTTGCTTGTTTGGATTTTTTTGAAGCAATTTCGTGTCTGGGTTTCACAAGAGGAAGAAGAAGAGGAGAAGGGAAGCTGAGCAGAAGCAAGGAGAGGCATTGCGGCGGAAACGTCTCAAGCTGTGCAAAAAGGTTGGATTTTGTGGCTGTTTTTTGGCCGTTTGATTGCCTATTTTGCATAATGTATAGCTTGTTTACCACTCATTGGATTTTGATAGTTGGTTGATTTGGTTTTTAATCTCATTGTTGCGAAAAGTTGGTGTCTTTGCAAGAGGAATTACATTGAATTATGTTACTACTCTTTGGATTCTGTGAGTGATTTTTATATATACCCCGATTTTGTATATATAAATTGGTACAAGTTATTAGGTTCTTCAAATATTGGCTGCCTTTTAATGTTTAGAACTAACCCAACTTAAATAATGAATAATTTCTCTTTAGTTCTTGAGTGCCCTGCCTTTCTTTTCATCTGGATCGTAGAACAGAATATTAGGATATGGCCTTCTCAGAATCTAGAATATGTTTCTAGCACAGTGGATGTTTTTCAGGATTTTGTTTTACCTCCACCATGTGCCATCAACAAGTTTATTAGTATAAACGTGTAGGATATGTAATCTATGTTCTGTTATCTGCCACTTTAAATCTTACTTCATTTTGTTTGTGTTCGGTTTTAATTATTATGCGTTCAATTGTTCCAGGGGAATTCTATATCGACTACAAAGTACAACTTCATTACATTTTTGCCGAAAGGACTCTTTGAACAAGTAATTCACGGGCCTTCAATGAATTTGATTTTAGTTTTCAATCAATCTGCTTGCTGATGCAGTTCGAAGCTTATCTGATTTTTTGTGATGAAGTGTAGTTATATCATTTTGCTATGCGTTATGCATAAACAAATTGACTAGAGTGTATGTATGCAGTGTGTATGTATGCAGTGTGTGTGTGTAGTGTAGTTATATCATTTTATTTTGTCATGGTCCTGAGAAGTTGTTACACTGCCAGTGTGTATGTATGCAGTGTGTGTGTGTAGTGTATGTAGTGTGTGTGTAGTGTATGTAGTGTGTGTATGTATGTACTGTGTTTGCAGTGTGTATGTATGCAGTGTGTGTGTGTAGTGTGTTGCAGTGTGTGTGTGCAGGGTGTATGCAGTGTGTGTGTACTTGCAGGGTGTGTGTGTAGTGTATGTTTGCAGTGTGTATGTATGCAGTGTGTGTGTAGTGTGTTTGCAGTGTGTGTGTGCAGGTGTATGCAGTGTGTATGTATGCAGTGTGTGTGTGTAGTGTATGTAGTGTGTGTATATGTGTAGTGTTTGCAGTGTGTATGTATGCAGTGTGTGTGTGTAGTGTGTTTGCAGTGTGTGTGTGCAGGGTGTATGCAGTGTGTGTGTACTTGCAGGGTGTGTGTGTAGTGTATGTTTGCAGTGTGTATGTATGCAGTGTGTGTGTGTGTAGTGTGTTTGCAGTGTGTGTGTGCAGGGTGTATGCAGTGTGTATGTATGCAGTGTGTGTGTGTAGTGTATGTAGTGTGTGTATATGTGTAGTGTTTGCAGTGTGTATGTATGCAGTGTGTGTGTGTAGTGTGTTTGCAGTGTGTGTATGCAGGGTGTATGCAGTGTGTGCGTACTTGCAGGGTGTGTGTGTGTAGTGTATGCAGTGTGTGTGTGTAGTGTATGTAGTGTGTGTATGCACTGTATGCAGTGTGTGTATGTATGTATGCAGTGTGTGTGTGTACTTGGTTTATAACCATGATATTACAATGTGAATGTTTTGTATTGTGTGGGGTTGATGCTGAATTGCAATTTTTTGTGGTTGTTGGTTGCAGAGAAGAGGAGCATAAACGGAAGGCTAAGGCTAAGGCTACTGCATTACAGGTGTCCTTTAATTTCCCTTTTCACATGCAATGCCTAGCAATGATAGCAATCCTCATACTAGTGTTCTTAGACACATGTTTATAGATGTATAAGAGTAGAACATTTTGAATATGATGCCTCGGGTTAATGAAAAACTTTTTTTTTTCAAACGCCACCTGTATATTTGTTGCCTCGGGTTAATGAAAACTTTTTTTTTTCAACGCCACCTGTATATTTGTTGCCTCGGGTTAATGATCTAGTTAATTTGTTTTTTGTTTTTTGTTTTGTTTGGATAGATATGGATCGAATGAAGCTTTTATTGATCTTATTGTTAGAGATGTCTTATTTGGAGACAATTTGTATTTGTACGATTCTTGTGGTGATGATGCTACGTGGCAAACAGAGACATGTTGAACGACCCACATTGACTAACCGTTCACTTATTAGACGAGAGATTAGTTGTGTTATCTGAATGGTATAATAGGGAATACTGATACTGAATGTGTCAACGAATTGAGAATGGATAGAAGGACTTTTGGCATATTTATGCGACTTACTTCGTCAAGATGGGAGGGTAAAAACTGATGGTTTGGTGTCTGTAGAGGAACAGGTGTGTATGACCTTTACAAAATATTAGCACATCATACTAAGAATCGTAGTGTTGGCGGTAGATTTTATAGGTCGGGAGAGACTATAAGTAGGTATTTCAAATAGCGTATTGCAAGGAATTTTGCGATTACAAGGTAATCCTACTAAAAGTCCCCCAGCCTGTGCCTATTGATTCTACAGATCCTAGGTGGCGATGTTTTAAGGTATGATGAGAATTTTTTTTCATTTTCCCTAAGCTTTAACTCTTCATTCCCCTTTGTATAAATTAACAAAAACTTTTTTATTTTTTATTTTTAAGAATTGCTTGGGAGCATTGGATGGAACACACATTGATGTGCATGTACCTGAAATTGACAAACCAAGATACCGAACAAGAAAGGGTCGAGTCGCAACTAATGTGTTAGGTGTGTGTTCAGGAGATATGCAGTTCATATATGAAATAGACCCCAAACCTGAGGTATGAAAGTGTAATTTACCCTTGATCAATATTCCCATTTAAAGGAATGAATGTTGGAAATTCTTGAGTAGAAA